TATATATTATGTGGTTAACTAGTTATATTGCACTACTACCACGAATGAACGTTATCAAAGGCAGAAAATGTGTTCACGAAAAAATAAATTTTTTTTTTTACAAAAAATCATAATCCAAATAAGGCTTAGCATTTTCATTTTGTTGGTTCAAATGAGAAGTTGAAGAGCATGGAGGTATAAACTTGGACGGTTTAATTTTCGTAATCTACCAGAATGTCAAGATAATTAAAATACTATTGTCCAAAATTAAAATTCGAAAAGAAATTGAAGGATTATATTCAGGAGTAAAACGGGGAAAGATTCATGAAACGAAAATGCACATGTCATCATCGGACGGTAAGAACTTGTTTATAGTAGCAATTCAACTGATCGCCCAAGTCCCAAGAGCAGATTCTAGCTCGCTTTCGCTCTTTTAGACAAGGGATCAAACATGAGAGTATAAACTATTTGGTTTAGAGGTTCCAATAAAAATACTTAATTTGTTTGTCGCCAGAAAATATTACCCTGCAGAAAAATGTGACAGGGTCGTAGTTTTATTGAACCTCAAAAAAATAATTATATATGGCAAGTTTGATAGGATTTTCATTTTTTAAAGAATACAATAGTGCTTTAGACATGGCAGAGTGATGACACATATTTGGCTATAGAACAAAGTATTTTACAGGTTTGATCAATATGCTAAACCACAAAATTGGCAGGTGATTATATGTAACAATGGCAAAAAATTGTGCTAAAGACAAACCAATCTCCTAAGAGAATTACATTTTCTTTTTTAAAAATTGCTCAATAATGCTATACCAAAGACTTTCTACTTTGTTATCAATTTCTTCGTTCTGTCAATCATCATAAATAGTAAAGTTTGCCGGATTTGGGGCAGGGACGGTCATCAGGCGGATCGTTCCTGAGCAATTCACGGCCAAGATTTGGCCAAAAAAATTTATACGATCCAGATTTCATCTTGTATTTCGTTTTTAACAACATGTGTGGGATTTACAAAATTTTATTTTAAAATTGCATGTTATTAAAAGTAAGTTATACCATGTACAAACAGAGGTACGCCGTATACAAAATGCGCATAACCTTCGCTTGCAACCGTTCCTACCCCTGATCCAATGTTTGCTAGCATAACTTTTTAGATTATTGTACTTTTGTACTCAGCGTATTGACATGTGTGAAGCAAAAGTACTACTTTTAGTGTTCAACAATAAAGTCAATGATACCTTGATTTAACGGTTAAAAAAAAAGGTGGTTTTGTAATCAAAAGTTACTAAATGAAAGTATAGTCTTAATTTTATGTTATTATTTGTCCCACCATTTGGAATCATTTTGTCAAGCTGCTGAGCTATAATATGTTTGTCTTGATGTAACCATTTGATTACTTGTAATATTATAAGGAAAAAGAAAAAGAACTCTATTACTATGTACCAAAAAAAAAACTCTATTGCTAAATGCTTTTGTAAGTATCGGTTAATTGTGTTGTGTTACTCCATGTGAAAAAATGTAAATGAATGCTTTCCTAAACATGTTAGTTTAAACATATTGTTGCCTGTATTTGAGAAGAATTGATAGGGTGCAAAATTACTATTCAATTTATGATTATTTTCCCCTTGATTGTAGTCAAATATTATTTTAAATGATGGATTCTACTTATATTTGGTCTTTGGTGCTTATTATAGGGAGGTGGAGCAAAAAAAAAAAAAGGAATAAAAAGGATATATTTCATTAAATTGCTGCCAAGACTAGATGATTCGGGATTCGCGCGTAGTAGTTTCCAAATCCGAGTCCAAGTCCAAGCGAGTGCGGGGTTGAAGATTGAGAGAATTTCTTTAATAGTTATTTTATTTTTTAGGAAACAATTCACATTATCTTGGGAAGTTTTTCTTTTTCAATTAAGAGGTAGAATTCGTTTTGAACTAGAATTTAGGAGGAGAAAAGTCCGGCTCCCATTTGACTAGAGGTGGCAATCAGGTCAAATTTGGGTTGGCGGGTCGGGTTGAGACCCATGTATAACAGAAAACCCACTGATCCGAACCTGACACGAACCAAAAAATTTCAGGTTGGTGGGTCAACCTGAAATGACCCGAAACTTAATTTTAATTTATTAATTTACCGCTATAATTTCTAATAAAATCAATTTCTCACAAAATTAATTACATAATCAAGTAATAAAAATTTAAATAAATAATCCCAAACCAAATCTAAAATAAATTAAACACCATAAAAGTGTTTATCTCAAACCAAATATAAATTAAATTAAATCAGTATAAAAGTAAAAAATAATATAATATATTATTTATCCAAATTTAATAATTTCAACTTCACACAAGTTAAATAAATTCATTTAGGATTAAATAATTAATGCCTTTTGAAAAAAAAAGAAATAACTTAGTTTAGTTAGATAAAATAATTTTTATATTTATTAAATTATTTTTAATTCGTAAACGGGTCATATTGACCCGAAATCAACTTGTTTTCTTTTCGGTTCATCGGGTTCGACCCGAACCCTTGAAATCTCAACTCAAACTCATTAATTTCGTGTTAGGTTCGTGTCGTGTTTTCAGGTCATGTCGGAAATTGCCACTCCTACGTTTGACTAGTACTTCGTAGTGCAGAAAAAATAAGAGGAGGGGGCGGGCGCTTGGCTTTTCGTTGGTCTTTAGTTTTCTTTAGTTTTTCTTTTATCAAAGACTTATGTGGCTGGCTTTGGAAAAATCGTGTGAATTGCTTCAATTGGCCATGCGCAACTAAGTTCTTTCTTCTAGTAAAGGGTTAACTTAAAGACGCGGTTCCAAATATCTGTGAGATTGAATTATTTTTAATTATTTATTTTGTTCATTGCTATTCATACGTTTTCTGATTTAATTTCTTATGATTGTTTTGTTATTTGAATATCAAGAGTCCGATATTCGAATTAACCTAATAATCTACTGCCAAATTAACTGATTAAATCCATAATTGTTTAATTGGTTAATACCAATGGCAACTAGTGTGATTGGTCACATGTTAGAGAAATGTATGATCTAAATTAAACAAACCCTCGTAGCGTGTTTATTGGTTAGGCTTGGACTTTCTAATTCTTCATGCAATCGAAAAATTAAATCCTACGATCGCACCAAGGATTATTTTTTTGTTAGGAAAATAATTAACGGTCGTACCTTGACTATCGAAAAAGTAAGGAAAAATTAGTTGTTTATCGCGTATGGTAACTATAACCAATCTATTAATGAGTAATTGAATTATCTTTACATTGATGATTAGTTGAATGGACCGTGTCTGAAAAGTTGTACCTTTGACTAGAGTCGTATCTATTATTGATTCATTCATATTTATTTTCATGCATTGCTTTGATTTAGTTAATTATTTATTTTTATATTTTTATAAAATCCCCATACTTTGAACTCAAGGAGAAACAAATTTCCCCAATCCCTATGGATTCGACTCTACTTACCACTGTATACAAAATTTATATGTTATTTGAGCAAGTATTTATTATTGTACAACCTTGACACCTATTAAGAATAAATTGAGACGAGAGTAATTTTTTTAGGAGGTATATAGAGACAATCTTTATTGCCCCAGAAAGAAAAAAAAAACAATAAAGTACTAGGAAATTGAAGATTATTTCAAACTAATGGAAGATTTTACTTAAGTAAATTCACTAAGTCATAATTTGAACTGTTCTATTTGTATAATTTCCGCATACATCTCTCATCTTTTGATTGCAAATTAACGAGTCATGTCGATTGCTCGATAGTATTGATAGTGCTTATTTTCTGGTTTCTTGATTTCTGAACCTCTCTAGCATTATTCTTGCATACGTGGTGTTGAGCCATCCTTAATTTTCTAGCGTTTCCTGCACAATTGAGTTGATTTTCTATCTAAAGTCGTTGATCAGTACAAAGTCATTGTTCAGAATAGTTGAGGGGCAATCAATTTTGTCTCTTGTTGTGTTAATCTAACTTTGTCGTGTGATTTCTAGTAATTTAGACTGCTGAAAAATCAATTTTGTCTCTGGTATAATGACCAAGACTTATAATGTATTATGTGGTTAAATAATTAAGTTGCATTATTCCCAAGAATGCGCATCATCGAACTATGTAGTTTTGTCTAGAAATAGGTTTTGGGTTTGAGTTTAATTTTACAATTTAATTTCTAGTTATTAAACTTTGTTTATTTGAGAACAGAAAAGAATTGTTTTAGACATTTCAATGAAAATCCATGCTTGTTCGTCTCTGTAAAATATTACTTGAATAAAAATGGTCATCGTACACAAACCATATATATGTATCTAATATATATATATATATATATATATATATATATATACACACACACACACACCCACATACAAAATTGGTTTTAGAATTTATTAAGCTACAAATTTGATCAATATGCTAAATCAATATCAAAACCCTATTTAAGTTAGAATTTTGAGATGATAACAAGATTTGGAATTAATACAAAGGTGGGGTAAAAAAAGAATAAATAAAAATTTAAGGGATTAAATAATGAATTTCCTATTTTTGCTTTCTCCTTCATACATTTGAAGCCCCTTAGATTAGCCATGCATCACTTCCCTCTCTTTCGGGCTATGGCAACTCAAGGGTCCTCAAATTACATCAATCATAAAATAGAAGGTCCAACTTTATGATTAGACTTTGACATGAGAAATCAATATTATGTGAATGCAGAAGTAAAATATTTAATAAGCTTATGTCATACAGCTCGCATATTAAAAACTCAGAGAAAATTTATCTCAAAATCTTTTCTCAAACCTGCGGAAGAATTATAGCTTTTATGAAACTAAATTCTACTCTTTACATAAAGCAAATAGTGACATGGATATATAGTCATAAATTGACTGTACAATTCCCTAGAATAGCAGTCAAAGAAATTCTAATCAGCATGACAATTACATCCCTGTCAAAAAATTACCAAACCCATATTACTGAGACTATATATGATGCGACTCCTCACCCATCAGGTAGCAAACATTAGCCATGGAGAAACTTCACAACCTCTCCCCTTTTGGATTTGTGTTGCTGTGTTTTCTTTCAGCTTCCTTAGCCATGCTCCCGACCAATATTACCACTGATCAGTCATCTCTTCTTGCCTTGAGATCTCACATCTCATTTGACCCTCACCAAATCTTGGCAAACAACTGGTCTGTCAGATCTTCTGTGTGTGAATGGATTGGAGTGACCTGCGGCTTTCGGCATCTCAGAGTGACCGGCTTAAGTATTTCAAACATGAATCTTACCGGCACCTTACCCCCACAATTGGGGAACCTATCATTTCTTGTTTCGCTTGACATGAGAAACAACAATTTCCACGGAGAGATGCCGCATGAAATTGCTCGTTTGCGCCGATTAAAAGTACTTAATTTGGGCATCAACAATCTCAAAGGAGAGTTACCCTGGTGGATTGGTTCATTTCGTAAACTTCGTCACTTGAATCTTAGAAACAATAGTTTCACTAGTCGTATCCCATCTTCCATCTCTAACTTGTCAAAGCTAGAGACTATATATCTTTCGTTCAACCCTCTGCAAGGAAACATTCCCACGGGGATTTTCAATATTTCCTCGCTGCAAATCATTCACCTTATGGATAATGGCCTATCCGGAGTTCTTCCAAGTGACATGTGTTACCGTCTTCCTGGACTGAGTATCCTTGACCTATCAATGAACAAGTTAAATGGTCAATTACCATCAAGTGCTTTAGCCCAGTGTTCAGAACTTCAGGTGCTGTCTTTGTCTATCAATAAATTTGGAGGTTCCATACCAAAAGAAATTGGAGGACTGAAGAAGCTTGAGGAGCTATACTTGGGTATCAACTATTTAGAAGGTAGGATCCTTGCTAATTCTTTTACCATACATGGACAAAGCCAAATTAAATGAATTGTTTTATGTTGTAGTGAATTTGTGCAGATCTAGATCTAGAAGTTGGTTTGTTCTAACAAAAATAGCACATATCTTGCACAATATTTAGAGTGAGTTTGATAAATATAAATGTGAAATTTAAAATTTGAAATATGAATCCATTAAGTTACCAAATGTTATGTATCATGGTACAACTCATTATCTAAATCTGAATACTGAATACAGTATGCCTGTTAGATAATTGTAAACAACTTAATACCAAATTTCATATATTTCATAATTTTGTTATTATGTTGATTTATTCATTAATGATGATGTTAAAATGTTATACTTTATTTATAATATGTATAATTTAATTTCATTGAAAATAAGATATTAAAAAATAGAAAAAAGAACCACATATTAAAATAAAATCATATTATAAAAAATGTGTTTGGGAAAATAAATTTATTTGAGAAAAAACAAACTTTAGCACAATTTTCAATAGTTTATTTTTGCTCATATGTCAATGTTTGTAGATATGTAACAAAGTAATAAATCTTGCATTTGCATTAAATGGTAAGTGAACAGCTTCTCGCTTATTTTTTTAAATATATTTTATTTAGAGAATTTAGAGGCACTTAATTAATTAAAATGTTCTATTTTTTGACATCACACACCTATGGATATGTTGAGGCCTGAACCCATGAAATTTAAGTACTTAATTGTATTCTCAAATAAAACCTTACTTTTATCTTTCCATATTCCCAATTGAAAAGGCAAAAAATACAAGAAAAATTTAGAGTTACAGTTTGTTTCCGCTGAACAAATTTTCAGAATACTGCCTCGAGGAAAGAATTGTTACCAAAGATTTTCAGATTTTTCTGTTCCTTTACAGCTAGGAAAACCATGAATACATGCAGCAGATAATATGGTCCTGATGGACAAGTTAATGGCCAAAACATATTCGTATTTTCTTAGGATACTATAGAATAGTGAAAAAGGTTTTGAAAAATTTAGTTAACTTTACATGCATTTACTTTAAGATGTCTTTTTAATTTGATTTCGAAACAAGCCAATTTCAAAATGTCAAGGGTGCCAGGCTGTGGCCAATTTTTTGCTATTGGCCTATCAATTTTCTCATTTAATTCAAAACGTCCATCAAAGATCTCAACTTGTTAATTTTTATTGCATCCACATTTTGTAGGTGAAATTCCAAAAGAAATTGGTAACTCAACTTTGATGAACACACTAGATTTCAGATCAAACAAGTTAGCAGGTATGCCAATTTATTTACAAAACTTACAGAATATAGAGACTTATATATTTTAATGTATATGCTCAAGATTATTTTGGCAGGTGTAATACCACGAGAGATTGGAAACTGCTACTTTCTCCAACATGTCAACATGGAATTCAATAGCTTAACTGGTTCCATACCAATAGAGATCTTCAACCTCTCAAAACTGATTATTATGTCACTTACACAAAATCAACTTTCAAGCAATCTTCCATCCACATTCGGTTATAGGCTTCCCAATCTAGAAGAGCTTTACCTCGGCATTAATTCCTTCTCTGGAGTATTACCTACCTCAATCTCAAATTCTTCTAAACTTCGTAGAGTAGATTTTGGTTCTAACAAGTTCACAGGTCCAATTCCTACTTCCCTGGGGGACCTAAGTCTCCTGGAACTGTTGAATCTATCCAACAACAATTTAACGAGAGATTCATCATCTCAAGAGTTGAGCTTCATCACTTCATTGACAAAATGCCAATATTTGTCAATATTGGTCTTCAGTGACAATCCATTGAATGGGATCATTCCAAACTCGGTCAGTAATCTTTCAACTTCCCTTTAAATGTTATCTGCATCAGATTGTAAAATCAAGGGTAGCATTCCTAATGGAATTGGAAACTTTAGTAGTTTGATCCAGTTAGATCTATCCAACAATGAGCTAAATGGGTCGTTGCCAGCTAGGATAAAAGATTTACATATGCTTCAAGGAATGGATCTTAGTGTGAACAAACTAAGCAAAGTGCCCCTAGAGTTTCTTTGTGCTCTCTATAACTTGGCTACAATAGATCTTGGACAAAATCAAATTATGGGCTCAATACCAAAGTGCATGGGAAATTTTACTTCCCTAAGGAATCTTAACCTAAGTCACAATAGACTAAATTCTACCCCACCTGTAGAAATATGGAACCTAAAAGATCTCTTGGAGCTTGACCTCTCCTCAAATTTGCTGAGTGGATCTCTGCCGCAAGCAATTACGAATATGAAGATGGCAAATTGGGTAGATTTGTCAATCAATCAGCTCTCAGGTGGCATTCCTGACTCAATTGGAGAGATGCAGAACCTGAAAAATCTTTCTTTAGCACATAATAGATTGGAAGGATCAATCCCAGAATCGATTGGTAAGATGTTAAGCTTGGAGTCATTGGATCTATCGCATAACTTTCTCTCTGGATCAGTTCCAATGTCAATGGAGAACCTTCGGTATCTTAGACATTTCAATGTCTCTTTTAACAATTTAATAGGTGAAGTTCCTTCCAAAGGGCCTTTTATAAACTTCACTGCAGCATCCTTCACTTCAAATCAAGCCCTCTGTGGTGCTCAAAGGTTTCATGTGCCCCCATGTCCAAATAATTCAGCTCACAAATTGAGAACAAAAAAGTTGCATCGAACAATTTTTATTCTACTGGGGGTGATAATAGCAGCGGGAGCCTTGTCCTTTGGATTTGTTTACCTAAGATATCGAAAGAAAGATACAGTTTCCGGTCTAGCAAATTTATCGTTAGTTGCAATGCCAGAACGAATTTCATATTTCGAACTTCTAAAGGCAACTAATGGGTACAATGAAAGCAATTTGCTGGGAACTGGAAGCTTTGGATCTGTTTATAGAGGTACTCTTGATAATGGAAGGGTCGTGGCTGCTAAAGTTTTCAATTTACATGCCGAAGGAGCATTCAAGAGTTTTGATGTAGAATGTGAAGTACTGCGCAATCTTCGCCACAGAAACCTGACAGGAGTCATCACCAGTTGCTCTAACCCTGAGTTTAAGGCATTAGTGCTTGAGTTCATGCCCAATGGGAGTCTTGAGAAGTGGTTGTATTCGCATAACTATTTTCTGGATCTGATGCAGAGATTAGACATATTGATTGATGTTGCATGTGCATTGCAATATCTCCATTGTGAGTATTCAACTCCAGTAATTCACTGTGATTTGAAACCGAGTAATGTCCTGCTGGATCAAGACATAGTTGCCCATCTAAGTGATTTTGGCCTTACAAAGTTGTTGGGTGAGGAGAACAGCATCACATACACCGAAACACTGGCCACACTTGGCTATCTCGCACCAGGTGAAAAATTTTCTCATACGACTAAAGTAATATTTCCTCAATTGTTTGCTGTTGCAAATTCCAAATATCAAAAATTACAACCAATTTAAGAACATAGATGAATTTTATATATGTCTTGCAGAGTATGGATTGGAAGGATTAGTATCAAGAAAATGCGATACCTACAGTTTTGGAATTATGATGATGGAAGTCTTCACAAGAACAAAACCTAATAGTGAAATGTTTGGCGAAAACTTGAGCTTGAAGAGTTGGGTGACTGATTCAATACCTGATGAATTAGCCCATGTCATCGATGCAAATTTGCTGAAGGAAAGTGATGAATACTTTGTTGAAAAGCTAAGCTGTATAGCCTCAATCATGAAAGTGGCTCTGGACTGCACGATGGAATCTCCAAGAGAGAGAAGCAACATACAAGATGTTCTTGTTGCGCTGAAAAAGATCAAGCTTCAGTACATAAGTGCCCTCCATTCAAGGACGTCTTAAAGGTGCACGTTCTCTTTGAGATTTGTAGTTTTCCCAACTCTCCTAGCTTCTGGTTGGGTAATAATCTTGTATTGGCTACGGGCTTGGAGAAATCTCAACAAGATGAGGTCAAGTAGAAATGGAATTTGATCACTCATTATGCTTCATGAGTGGTTACGGGGCTGTAATCCTTTTCGTAGTATTTCTTGAATTCATGTACTGAATGATAAAATTAATCAAAACATTTCCTTTCTCTTATTAGCGCATACATAAAATTAATCTTAAATATGCAGTTGCAGAATAAAATGTTAATTAAGGACTAATCTTTTACTCAATTACGGATCATTGCTTTCAGCGATTACATTACCAAGAGCATGTTCATAGGTTTGTGAATTATATTGACATCGTCAAGCCGATCTAGGCAATTGTCATATTTTGTGGATTATATCATTTCGTATGTTGTATCTTTTGGTGATAATACTACTTTACAGATAATTTCTCATCATCTACAAATAAGAAAAGTTAAAAAAAAATTTTAAAAAACTTATTCCTAATCTATAGTCATGCTGATAAGGACGTCACATGTCATTTCTTCATATTTAAAATTTTTGTTTAGTGAAAAAATCAAGCTAGATTGTCAAAATGGTGGGGGTAGACAATGGAATTTTAATTAAATTCCAAAAATTACTATTGGTTTATAAATTATTTTTATGGCTTATTTTTATCCAATTGGATATTGCCATATGCCATGTACATCTGGAAAAATTGGTTATTAAATGACCAATTATATTTTGCCACGTGTCAAGTTGGGACGTTCCAATCAATTGAAATTGCGAGGATGTCTCCACCAACCAAATCATATCTACGTGACTCGGAAATTTTTGGATAAATATCTAAATATTTATTTCGTGTTAAAGAGATAATATTTAGAGTTGTTTAATCCACATATATTTCTTATATACTACAATAGCTTGGCCAGTCAAACGGCGCCATGTCATGTGTTCCCATAAGTTTGCCCAATCGAGGAATTACTTATCTCTTTATTAATAAATATAAAATGAAGAGATAATATTTGACTAACATAGTCCTAATATGACTGTGCGCCTTGCAAGACAAGTAAAGTGGTACACGAGTCTTCAACCTCTACCTCTTGCTCAGCTATAAATAGGAGTCTCTCAACCAAATCAAGGGGATAGAGACACACACGAAGAGGCGTCTCATACATTCAAGTATTGAAGTTCCAAGTTACAAAGGTCTGGATCTTCAAACTCTCCAAGTCTGCTATATATCAAGACTTGAATCTTCAAATATCTTCCAAGTTCTTCAAATCTTCCATCTCAAGATTTGAAGGAATCGGTGGTGGATCCAAGAACAAGCTGTGAAGCCCTTGAATTGGTGTTCGAGGAGGCGAATCGAGGGAAACTCTCTACAAGTTCGAGAAAACTTCAGAGATTGTACCTACATATTTTCCTAAATTTATATATTACCTATTTGTCGTGTATTTTTCTTGTCGTTTTACAGATTTGAAATTTCATCACGTACAGTGGGATTGGGTGGAACTTAACCTCCTTGGCCCAAGAAATTAAGGAATTGGGCTAGGTTTGGATTCATCATATGTCGAGTTTGGATAATGCTAAACTCCACATAACAGAAGTACAACTGATATACTTACATATTTAGTTGTTAAGAGACCACATTTGTACATATGTCAATATATCACTATTGTGTTATATGCTACTCATTATTTAAAAAATTATTATCTAAGTTGATGTTTGTGATACTAATTATGATTTAGTTGAAATTTGATTTTGCAATTAATATACTACTCCCTCCGTCCTGAAAAGTTTGTCACTTTTCGGGAATTGAAATATTTTTCAATAGTAGACAAGAAGAAAAGATAGCTGTCTGTAATTCCTAAATTATCCCCGCCAAGCTGTCCAAATTTTGCCTATAGTGGTGCGGATGAAGTTATTCAAATGGTTTATGCAAACTAGTCAACACTTTGGGCCCACTACATTATTAAAACTACACTAACTTTTTGCTTATTTTGCACTGCACGCGCTAGTAAACATTGGCTAGCATCAGCCACACACTTCAAAGCGTGTCTTGTTCTTTTGACAATTTATGCCGGACCCACATATTTAAAGGTAGTGTCAGAAAGGTAAAATTAGAAGAAGGCGAAAAATTCATTTGCATTTTAGGTATGTGACAACATTTTGGGACAGACCAAAATAGAAAGCGTGACAGTTTCAATGGGACAGAGGGAGTACATCGTTGGTGAAGTATTACTATCAAAAATGATAAAGGTGATGTATTTAAATCTGGGCAAAGCCCCCTACCCTAGCATCAACATTTTGTTTAACAAATGCAGCCCAAGATCGGTCTTAACAAAGGTAGCCCAAAAAACAGATTTACAGCCCAAATAAGAATTCCAAATTATTTAGACCACAATTGCACCGTATCGCCCCTTCCGCTTTGAAATTGCATATAATAGTGGAAAATTTTCGCTTCCATTTTATTCTTAGAATTCCGTTGCAATGTTTTCCTGCAGCTAAGTCCTTAAGTCATTTCCATAAAAAAATAATACCACTAACCAGTCTGTACTTCATTAAGGATATAAATAAGTCTAATCAAATCGAACACCTTAATATTTAAACTTGTTTGATTATTTTAACGAGTTTAAAATTTTGTTCAAATTTGATTTATTTATTTATCAAACCGAGGTTGAACGACGAGTTTGAATGTTATTCAAATTTGATTTGATTAGTCGGCGAGCTAAATTTGAATGAGATCTTACCAAACAAAACCCAATTCGAATGTCGAGTAGTTTAGTTTATCTTTCAATCCTATACTTCATTTTAATTGCGGTTTCTATTTTATCTCTCCGCACTGATCTTGCCTCAATATGACTTGAGCTTCAATATTGACATGGAGCATAGGAATGGCTTAGGACATATACCCCAAAAATTGATTTCACTACTCATTGTCTACAGGTACCCGTAATCTCAAACTTTTTGATCTCCTGGATACACTAGATTCATAGTCAAATTTTGGTTGTGTTACAATTAGTTGTATAAACTATTGATATTATTTTACATCTAAATGTGAAACAATGCAGATGTCTTTAGTTTACGGACAGATACTATTCTTACATGTGAGTTTTAACCACTGATGTTCTGGCTGTTTACATTCAAGCATAGATTAAACTTCAGCTTTCTCCAGAAATATTGCCATACACTTTATCACAAAAGCGTAATATTTAACTGGGGGGAGGGTTGAGTTGGGTGGTACGGGGGGAGGGAATATAAGTGAGAGGTCTCGGCTTCGAGTCCTCCTACTTACACTTAACAAATAAAAAAAAAAAAAACTAATAGTAGGAATGGCTAGTATATTATTTGTTACTAAAGAAAATTCTTGTTATTTATATACACTTCCTCAAAAGTATGAAAGATTTCGTACTCCTTGCAGATACTGCAATTGATGCCTTTAAAAAATTGTTATGGCGTCAATCCATGGCACACTAAATCTACGAAAACCAAAGGAAACAAGACATTATAAAAAACCCAAGAATTTGACAAAACGAGTTGTGGAATTATGATCATAAAACTAAGCATTCAATGACTACGACAGTGATGGAAGGTGACTAAAAGCTGATGCACGTGGTGAGAAACCATGAGACATTTTCAATCTCTAATCAAGGCTTACCTATTAAAAATACCCATGAGACATTTGAGAAATTTAAGCTGCTCCAGTACATACAATCCTGAAAGAAGGAAAAGGAAATCACGAAAGCCTTTGAAATTTTGTTGTTATCCCGTTTAACTTCCAAATGTTAAACTTGATCAATTTTTATAATCTTTACTCTTTAGGAGTTATTCCTAATTGGCCCTTGGATCCCACTATGATATTCACCAAGGTTAAGAAAGCATGCCTTGAATTGCAATGAATCTGCGACCTATTTAAGATGCATTAGGTGTTTAATTTAATTTTATTCTTGTGCTTATCATTTCCCAATGCAGCTATGAGGACCCGTAAAATTCCCTTAGGTTATATTAGTTTATTTTATTTTATCATCGCATGCATTTTCTTTATTTTACTTTACTATATTAAATTTTTAAAGATTTTTATAAGTGAGTATAGGTTTTAAATCATTTTCTTACTATAAGTTAGTTCATGATAAGTTTGAAGTGCATTATGGACGTAAGACCCGTTGGTGCGCTAAGTGCGATAAATTTTTTACGATTAACTGAAGTTTTGTATAAAGGAATATTACTATACAAGATGTTAGGAGATAATTAGAGGTTAGTTAGATAGATTAACCATTGGGAGAAAGAAGATAAGTTTAAACCCTAAAAGGTGCCAAGTGTTGCGATCCGATTGGAGTAGGACTTTGACCACTTTTCTTCACCTTTACTAAAACACCAATTTTGACCCAATTTTTCTTCCATTTTCCCTTGTCTTGGCCGAGCAAAGAGGCAGGAAAAACCAAGAGAGCGACTTCACTTTGTTCTTCAATTTCTTGTCCAAATCTTGAGTTCTAACCGATTAAATCGCAAACCCTTCCATAAAAGTGTTATCTAAGGAGGAATAAAGGTCTTGGTGGAGTGATTCTTGAAGAAGAAGCCCTAAACTATCATCTTTCCTATAGTTCCAAGGTAAATTACCTAGAAATTTTCTTTTACTCTTAATAATTGCAAATGAGTAGATTATAGTTGTTAAAAATGCTATTTTGTGGAAGATTTCATGGTTCGAGCTAGAGTTAAGTTAAATTTCAGTTTTTATGGTGATTTTTCTGCCGACATGTGATGAGTAATGGTTGGTCATAGAATGATAGCTTTATATTGTGTAAAATGAAGCTTTGGTATGCTAGTTTTGGTTGTCTAAAGAAATTTCAGCTAGGGTGCATAAATTTCAGTTTTAGGGTTTCCAATCTGCCCTGTTTTTGCACTGTATGTTTGTCCATGTTAGAGGCTGAATGAGGCTTAGGTCAAAACATGAAAGTTGTAGTAAATGGTGTTAAT